ATTCCAAGTAGGGTTTGAGGAGTCAGTAACTTTTTTATTCATTTATTATTATTATTATTATTATTATTGTTATTATTATTGCCATTTATATAGCACCAACAGATTCGGTAGCGCTTTACAATATTATAAGAGGGGGAATTAACTATAAATAGGACAATTACAAGAAAACTTACGGGAACAATAGGTTAAAGAGGGCCCTGCTTACAGTCTATAGGAGGTGGGGTGTAAAACACATTAGGACAGGATTATTGAATCAATTTCAATGATATTACATACAATACATGCTTAACATATAAAGATTTGTTTGACTAGGACAGGAAGATGACATCTGTTAAATGAGCTCCATTTGACACCTCGCAAAGTCGAGCTCTTTCATTGCATTATTCACAACATTAGTTAATGTCTGAGGTTCTATTGCTTGAATTTCTACAAGTGAATATGGTAGGGTGCCATTGGTACTGATAAATTGTGCGTACATTTTCTGAACCCCAGAAACTACAGTTTTGCTTAAATGAAAATGAGTTTTGTCAGACATGATGAGTTGGTGAATATATTTTGGCTGACTCGTTGTTCCTTTGTGAAATTACCCATGACGAATCTCCCAATACTCGGTAACAATATGCACCTGCAACAAACAAATTGAAATACTAGCAAATAATTTATTTACCTGCCACAATCTGATTTTGATGTGACACAGATGATCATCTCTGTCTCTTTCAGAAAGAGCTATTTGGGGGGGGCTGGAGGGGAGGGTGGTTGTGTTGGTAATTGTGTAGTTTCCCAAGTGCGTAAAAAAAAATTTATTATTATATTCTGTTATTTCACGACGCATTGGTTAATGTTCACCGAACAGCCTTTTTTAACTGTGGTTATTTATTTTGATATTAATTGACTTTCCTTCAGACTGTGCTGGTGTGAAGTTTTCTGCAGTTTATCGTTCACGTTTTGTACCATTTTAGAAGCCCATTCTGTTTCTTCTTTCTTTCTTTCTTTTTCTATCAAAGTCTTTTTGAAATAAGCAGATGCTGTGTTCTCTCTGAAGTTTTAACAGCGTTCTATAAAGAGACATCAGTATACCAGCTTCCTTTATCTTACAAATTCCACTGATTTTATAAACCCACAAATCTCAGCGATATCCCACTCGTTTTACTGATTTGTTGACACATATTTAAACTATTTGTGACAATAATACAGGTGTCCTCGTATGTTTGTCTTAAGGTTCCTGTTCCATATGGTGCAGTGGGGTACACTGGCTACATCTGTATCACATTAGTATTACTCACACTGACTACAATGTTGCTCTGACTGTACTGACTACAATGTTACTCTGACTGTACTGACTGCAATGTTACTCTACCTGTACTGACTGCAATGTTACTCTGACTGTACTGACTACAATGTTACTCTACCTGTACTGACTGCAATGTTACTCTGACTGTACTGACTACAATGTTACTCTACCTGTACTGACTGCAATGTTACTCTGACTGTACTGACTACAATGTTACGCTACCTGTACTGACTACAATGTTACTCTGATTGTACTGACTACAATGTTACTCTACCTGTACTGACTACAATGTTACTCTACCTGTACTGACTGCAATGTTACTCTACCTGTACTGACTACAATGTTACTCTACCTGTACTGACTGCAATGTTACTCTACCTGTACTGACTGCAATGTTACTCTACCTGTACTGACTGCAATGTTACTCTACCTGTACTGACTACAATGTTACTCTACCTGTACTGACTGCAATGTTACGCTACCTGTACTGACTACAATGTTACTCTGACTGTACTGACTACAGTGTTACTCTGACTGTACTGACTGCAATGTTACTCTACCTGTACTGACTGCAATGTTATTTTGACTGTACTGACTACAATGTTACTCTACCTGTACTGACTGCAATGTTACTCTGATTGTACTGACTACAATGTTACGCTACCTGTACTGACTACAATGTTACTCTGACTGTACTGAATGCAATGTTACTCTACCTGTACTGACTGCAATGTTACTCTGACTGTACTGACTACAATGTTACTCTACCTGTACTGACTGCAATGTTACTCTACCTGTACTGAATGCAATCTTACTCTACCTGTACTGACTGCAATGTTACTCTGACTGTACTGACTACAATGTACTGACTATTCTACCTGTACTGACTGCAATGTTACTCTGACTGTACTGACTACAATGTTACTCTACCTGTACTGACTTCAATGTTACTCTGACTGTACTGACTACAATGTTACTCTAACTGTACTAATTGGAATATTACTCTAACTGTACTGTCTACAATGTTACTCTGACTGTAATGACTGCAATGTTACTATAACTGTACTGTCTACAATGTTACTCTGACTATACTAATTTCAATGTTACTCTGACTGTGCTATATGCAATGCTTCTCTGGCTGTACTGTCTACAATGTTACTCTGACTGTACTAATTTCAATGTTACTCTGACTGTACTAATTTCAATGTTACTCTGACTCAGTGGTGTATCCTGGTTTTGTGCTGCCCTGATTGTGTGAGTGTGTGTCTGTTAGTGTGTCTGAGTGTGTGTTTGCCTGTGAGTGTGTGTGTCTGTTAGTGTGTGTGTGTGTCTGTTAATGTGTGTGTGTGTGTGTCTGCTAGTGTGTGTCTGTTAGTGAGTGAGTGTGTGTCTGTTAGTGTGTGTGTCTGACTGTGTTTGTCTGTTAGTGTGTATGTGTGTGTCTGACTGTGTGAGTGTGTTTGCCTGTGAGTGTGTGTGTCAGTGAGTGTGTGTCTGTTAGTGAGTGTGAGTGTGTCTGTTAGTGTGTATGTGTGTTTCTGTTAGCGAGTGTATGCGTATCTGTGAGTGAATGCGTGTGTGTGTGTATTTAGAAGGCGGGTTGGGGGGGAGGGTTGGCGCGGGGGGGGGAGGCGCCTGAGTTTTGTCCTGCCTAGGGCAGCACAAAACCAGGATACACCACTGTCTGGCTGTACTGTCTACAATGTTACTCTGATTGTACTATATATAATGCTACTCTGACTTTACCGACTGCAGTGTCTTATTCTGACTGTACTTTCTACAATGTTACTATGACTATCCTGACTACAATGTTACTCTGACTGTACTGACAGCAATGTTACTCTGTACTGGCTGCAATGTTACTCTGACTATCCTGACTACACTGTTACTCTGACTGTACTGACAGCAATGTTACTCTGTACTGGCTGCAATGTTACTCTGACTATCCTTACTACACTGTTACTCTGACTGTACTGACAGCAATGTTACTCTGTACTAGCTGCAATGTTACTCTGACTATACTGACTACAATGTTACTCTGACTGTACTATATGCAATGTTAATCTGACTGTACTTTCTACAATGTTATTCTAAATGAACTGACTGCAATGCTACTCTGACTGTACTGACTACACTGTTAATCTGACTGTACTGACTACAATGTTGCTACGAATGTTTTTTTCACTATAGACCAACATATCCGGTCATTATGGATCCGACTGTGTAGCTTCCCTTTTAGAACGAGGAGAACACTTGTTGATTCTTTGGGGAAGATTTATCAAAGTGTTGTGTTCTGAAATATAGTGTAAAGTACTGAAAGTGGGTCAATCACCATAGAAACCAATGCAACTGGCAGACATATTCTATTGGTGTCTTCTCCCATTTTACATTTTGCACTATTTTCCAGAACACATTTTGATGAATCTGCCCCATTGTCTCATTGCAGCCCCATTTCTATAATTTAAAAAAATATACATTTTGACCCATACACAGGCTGGGATCTAAATGCACCAAAGACCAGCTGTATACAGGTGAACATCAGCACGGTGCTAGTTTGGTCTGTTTGGATATCTTTCTGGAAGCATATAAAGTATTAAAGGACCACTCTAGGCACCCAGACCACTTCAGCTTAATGAAGTGGTCTGGGTGCCAGGTCCAGCTAGGATTAACCCATTCTTTTATAAACATAGCAGTTTCAGAGAAACTGCTATGTTTATGAATGGGTTAAGCCTTCCCCCAATTCCTCTAGCGGCTGTCTCATTGACAGCCACTAGAGGCGCTTGCGTGCTTCTCACTGTGATTTTCACAGTGAGAGCACGCCAGCGTCCATAGGAAAGCATTATGAATGCTTTCCTATGTGACCGGCTGAATGCGTGCACAGCTCTTGCCGCGCGTGCGCATACAGCCGACGGGGAGGAGAAGAGGAGGATGGGAGGAGGAGAGATCTCCGCCCAGCGGTGGAAAAAGGTAAGTTTTACCCCTTTCCAGAGCCGGGCGGGAGGGGGTCCCTGAGGGTGGGGGCACCCTCAGGGCACTATAGTGCCAGGAAAACGAGTATGTTTTCCTGGCACTATAGTGGTCCTTTAATTTACATTTTAAGAGGCATCAGATCTCAACTCTGCCCATAAACAGACACATTTAAAACCAATTCCCTTACAATGCCGATGAGAAATAACTGAATTATTGTATACAGAATAAGGAATCGGCTTTCTTCAGTGGATCTGTATTGCTCCATATTAAATGTAACAGTTTGACAATAGCCAAATTAGCAATAAATTAAATGTAATAAATATACAATTTTAAAAAAAAAATTCAAATCAAACTTGGCTAATGTACCAATTTGGCTGCAAATTAAGGAGCTTGGTCAATTACCCCAATCAAAATATTTTCTGACTTCGATATACTCCTCTGAGCACTAACACAATAAAAGTTGACAAAATTCAGTATATTGACAGATGACATTGAATGAATAATTGAATGAATGTGTCATTATTAGTGATCTGTTACTTTTAATGAAACATGTATAATAATAATAATAATAATATCATCATTATTATTAATATAATTCTTCCAGTCATATATCGGCCTATGTAAACTTTAGTGACATCTTAAAAACACAGAGATCATTAACCTGTGTGTCAGTCGGAGGTAATTTTGCACTTTGAACTTCTCAGGAATCATAACGTAGTGTTTTCAGAGGTTTCCATTGGTCGGCTTAAAGGGGTGTGAATGATGCTTTGTTAAAGAGTGAAACACAAGGTAAATCATACTCTGTCCTGCCTGGATTGGATATATCTCATAAAACAATAATTTTCTAGAAAACCTTGCAGGATGAAAATAGATATCCACAGTCACATTCTTCCAACGGAATGGCCTGATCTCAAAGAGGTAATAAGGAGCAGTCTGTTTGATGTCAGTCGATAAATAACACACGATTTCAATGAAATGTTTATAGAATTTATCTTAGATTTGCATGTTGCCACAAATCGTAGTCTGCACCAACAGTAGTACTGTTTAAAACCTCAGAGACGTAGGTTCATTACTGGCAGAGCGACTAAACCTTTCATCCTTCCACGCTCAAGTAAATGACAACCAATTAGCAGTCTGTCAATAATATTTGTCTCCTTGGGCAAATTGGAATATTTAATCTTTCTTTTCTCGTTAAATACTCTTATATTAAATACTCTTATATTAAATACTCTTTCTTTTCTCGTTAAATACTCTTATATTAAATACTCTTATATTAATTTTTCTTACATCTAATAGTAATACAAGTGGCGATAGTAGTATTAGTCGTTTATTTTCATTTTAATTCATCATATTTTTCATGTTTTTTCATCAGATTGTTTTCTGGTTTTTATTTTTAATTATTAATTTTATTTAAAATTAATGTGCATTTTCTATGATATATGAAATATTTGCTATACATACTCATCTGGAGGCTTTAAAATGATCCACTGAATGGGCCTAGAGAGGATAGTAATCCCAGCAGAAATGTAAAGAAAAAATCTTCCATCTCCCCCTTAATTTCAAATGGCCAAAGAGGGACTTGATTTAGTGGCTCAGGCTGTAGATGAGACCAATTTCTACAACAATTTTGGTGAATTAATTTTCTACCGCTTATGAAGGTGATAAAACGATTTAGATCTAAAACAATTTAATAATACCTACTAATTTCAAAAACTAATTTATTGTAGTTTAAATTTCCCTCCAGAATTTCTAAAACAAAGAATAAAAAATTGTAACAAATTCTTAAAATTTTGAAATCTGGTCACCAATTGATGACAAAGCACTGTTTAGTAAATACGCTCCTTTACTAGTGAATTAAAATATTAACGGAACACTGTAGTGGCATCAAGGCATACAATATAAATTGGAAAACATTTTTTAAAATTTTAGAAAAAATAAATAGCACAGACAGCTCATGCATATATCTAACGTGTAACAGTTCTACTTCCAGATATTTCTTTCCTAGGCAAGACACATTCATGGTTAATAAGAGAGAGTGGTTCTTTATCTACCTATCACAGAGACTGCAGATAACTGGCACACTTTCACTGCCCTCACTCAGATCACAGATCGCTTACTCAGCGGAAAAAGAAGCCTGCGCAAATATTGATACACAAACACATTAGCAAGCTTGCTAACGCTACAGTTCAAAATAGCTTTAACACAGCTTTAGGAGATCTCATATTAACAAGATAAGCACAGGCCAGTAGTTAGATCACTATAGATATTGTCTATTTAACCCCTTAAGGACCAAGCTTCTGGAATAAAAGGGAATCATGACATGTGTCCTTAAGGGGTTAAAGGAAACCTGTGACCACCTGTCATAAACAACCTTAGCTCTTTTAAAATAAATTAAAATTCCAGCTACACATTGTGATGGCAGTTTTGCTAGCAAATGAATAGATTGGGAGAAAAAAATATTTAAATATAGGATTTTCTCCCATTTGTCTCTCAATTCCTTGGCAGACACTCAATGCCAAGGAATCGAGAGACAGGTGGAGGAGAAGAGACCACTCATTGGAGGGTCCTCTGCTTTTGCATGCGCTGTGGTTGCCATAGTAACTCTTTTGCCAGTACTGCTAGCGCTGGCTAGGGAATATAGGAAGAGGGTCATAACCTCCTAGCCAGTCCCCAAGCAGGAGGAATCAGTACAGAGCAGAGGAGAGGTGCAGGCAGACCAGAGGAGGGTGTTACAGAACTCTAACACCCACCTCTTTCATGAGATTGTGGCGGGGGCTGAGTGTCAGGTAAAGCCATGACAATTTCCATATAAAGGATCGGTAGCATTTTAATCAAAGAGAAATAATGAAACAGAACGGGGTTTATTCTCTAAATCAATCATTTGTGGAGATTTGAGGAAGGGATTACCTTAATCAATGCTAAATTGGCCTAAAACTATTTTTAAACTAAAATAGTAGAATCTGGCTAATTGTAACACGGATATTTTAGCAACTTAGTTATCAAGGCTCAAAATGTTTTAAATTATCTATTCAGTGTTCCAAAATTTAACGTGATACGAGGTAACGTGAATAAGGTTCGGAATAGTGATATACACCTTTATTTTTGCACTAGTCTCCTCTATCTATCTGTCTGTCTGTCTATCTATGTCTATCTGTCCATCTATCTTTCCCGCTCTGTCTGTCTGTCTTTGTATATCTGTTATCTATCTATCTACCTACCTATCTATCTATCTATCTATCTATCTACCTACCTACCTATCTCGCTCTGTCTGTCTGTCTTTGTATATCTATCTATCTCTCCCTCCATTGAGAGGTTTAGTGGGTTATGTACCTATTTACATACAGTATATCTGTGATTATGTAAAGATCATGCTTTCTCCATTGTTACCAAGTCTATAGGCAGAGCAGCCAGGGAGACATTTAGCAGCAGGACCTCCCATCTCCCTGCCTGCTTGTTTAAGCTTTTCTTTGCTATTAAAATATTAATGAAGAGTTGAAGGTCACCTTGAGAGTCTGTGGCTGAGTCATGTACTTCAAGGTGCAGAACCTGTGTGCTTAGCAGCTAATAATTAACAAATTGCATGTTGTAAACATTTTTTGTCTTCACTTTTTTCCTTTCCCTTTTTTTGGCTTGTTTTAGACATTCTGGGTTTTTTTTTGTGAATAGAACAAACTGAGAATATTTGTCTAGAAATTAATGCTGTTTCCTTTTCAAACGAGCACAGAGCAGACAGTGGAAGATTCTTCCAATGCCTCTCAGAAACAGAATAAAAAGGCAGAGACGGGGAACAGAAACTGAAACATAACTCTAAGCTTTGATTACTAGCACAGAACATGGGCAGAACCATATATTAGGGCGTAAAAGAAAACCTGTGGCCGATCACATTGTCTTACAAAGAAGGAGCCACTTGTCTCACGGCCACATCCAACGGAATTTTCAGTAAATTTCAAAGAAAGTTAATCTAGAAATTAAAAATAAGCCGCAAAACCTGCAATGGATGAAGAGAAACTGTCACATCTCTGGAAATGATACATTTTAATAAAACTCTCCATTTTGCTCCATTTTGTTTTCAATGTATATTAATGATTTAGAAGTTGGCATCACAATCCAGTTCAGTGCTGGCACAGTCAGTCAGAGCACACATTGAAGAAGACAAAACAGAAACATTGATAATTGTAATAATTTCTCTCCTGGTCACTTACTTTAGCAGGCGGTGGGTGAGGCTTAGCCCGATGGTGCTAATGGAAGCTTCTGGTAGGAGCTTGTAAGTCCAGAGGAGGAGTTGACCAGTAATCCTAGCATCATAACCATTACAGTGTGCTTAAGTTGTTATGGTGCTTTGAATGGTCCTTTGAAATCAGTCATACAAAGCCCAGCATTGTAGCAGACAATACTTAATGTGAGTCAAGAATGGTAAGGGGTAGTATTTATAGAATTTATAGCGATGAGTGCAGTCTAGGATTTCAGGCGATATTTACAGCTAGTTGTACTCACTGTGTGGGATTTTTTTAAGGATTCATTATAATCATCAATATTAATGGTTTTAGGCACATTCGCCTGGTTTTACAATGTAACTGTGTTAACAGATGGTCAACAATTAAAAATTTTAGATCATTCTTTGTTTTCTTTCAACGCAGAAATATGGCTACGGTGGCTGGGTCCAGATGCATCATCACTGCAAGGTACGTGCTGTTCATTTCCTTAAACTCAACCTGTCCAAAACAGAGCTTCTGGTTTTTCAAGTGTTGCTACTCCCGTGTCTGTCTCCCTCCAAGTCGATGGCACTACCATCACCTCTATCTCGCAGGCTCGCTGCCTGGGTGAACTTTTTGACTCCACCTTCACCCCTCATGTCCAATCAATCGCCAAATCCTGTCGTTTCCATCTCAAAAACATAGTGCGCATCCGCCCCTATTTAACGCCGGATGCGGCTAAGGTGCTGGTCCATGCTGTTGTTCTCTCTCGCCTTGACTACTGCAATCCCCTTCCCAGTGGACTTACGTGTTCCTAGATGGCAATGCTGCAATCTATAATGGCAAGGCTCATTTTCCTGTCTGCTCGCACCTCCCACGCCTCCCTGCTCTGTCAGTCCCTGCATTAGCTTCCAGTTAGATATAGGGCTCAATTTAAAATTCTGGTGCTTGCTTACAAATTCTGGTGCTTGCTTACAAGTTCCTACATAATGCTGCTCCAACCTACCTATCCTCCCTAATGCACATGTATGTCCCGTCGAGGTCCCTACGCTCTGCCAACGACCTACGTATATCCTCTGTCCGTACTCCCACCTTTAATGCTCGCCTCCAAGATTTCTCCAGGGCTGTACCACTTCTGTGGGACTCGCTTCTCCGTAAGAAATTCACCCATTCTCCACTCAATAAATCATTGAAAACTCACTTCTTCAAGAAAGCATATCAATTAAGCAGGTTTTCATCCTCCACCCCCCATGACTCCTCTCCGGCAACTGTCAAAAATCATCTGCTAAGCCCTCAGTGAATACTTTTCTAACAACCTACTTTGTACCCCTACTTTTACACTTTGTGTCACTATACCCCACTCCCTCTAGAATGTATCCCCTCTGTTCCTGTACGTCCAGTTGTCTGGTTACGATTACATGTCTGTTAGTCCACCTATTGTACAGCGCTACGGAATCTAATGGCGCTATATAAATAATAATTATTATTATGTTAGGACATAGTACATTGAGGGAGAACTGTCACTGTTGCACCATTGAGTAAAACTCTGAATATAACCTACAATTTGTGTTTTTATGGGATGTTTCAGTTTCTTTTACATTTATATTAAAGATTTAGGAAATGGCATCACAATCTAATTTAGTATCTGCACAAAATTCGGTTAGATTTTTTCTTTTTTTTTTTTCTTTGTCTCTGTTTAATTAATTTTATTTTCCTAATCAGCCTGTTTGGTGATGTTACTTTTAAAGGACACACTCAATTTATACAAATTAATTACTAGCTAATGACTGCTTACTTCAAGAAAAATAATGTAAATCAAGCCAAAACTTGGCATTAGGGTGGAGGTTATTCACAAAACAATGCAGCATTATGAATTGAAAATTAAAATTGCAACATTCATGCCACAACAACAATGGATACCCTCTAACACTGACGTCCCAAGAAGGCGAATGCTAGTAAGAGAAGGGAAAAGGGGACATGCCAGGGTAAGGATCTGCCCAATAAGGGGACGGGTATACCCAAATTCTGAAACACCAAAAAAAGTGCTAAGTAAAGCAACCAAAATAAAAATACAATTTAACTTATAAAGCAAAAGCTTCCAAGGGTACCTGTCACAGTACTTTATATTGTCTAGGCTGTGACACAGCTTGGGGAGGTCCATGAAGGGGAGCGGGAACCTTCCCACGGTCCCTCTCATCTCACCAGCGGTTCCAGCGCCAGACGATGTAGCTCCGCCCCTCAAAATTTGCCTGTTTTGGGGACATGGCTATAGATTAAAGGCATAGGATATTAAAGGTCATTTAGGTTATGGATCATTTCCCTGTTGTGGTTTCTGTTTACAGTTCTCAAGAGTGCGTTATATTCTATATTCTCCGTTCTGTTCTCCAGTGACTAGGCTATCGGTTTCTCGCTTCCATGATTTCTGGCTTCTCTGACTCTGCTTGTCCCTGGCCATTCTTTATCTAACATCGTATAACCCGGCCATTCTAAGCACCGATAAACGTTGTCTAATCTATTATCATATAGACACTCTGTGTTGGGTTACTAGATATTGGGACATTACCCTTCCCAGATGGATACCTCTTAAGACAATGTGTAAATATGTAGAAAACAGAGGGATACAGCTGAATAACCTAAAAGTAAAAAAAAAAAAAAAATTCAAGTACATAGTATAATACAATAAAAACATACAAGACTTGCACTCAAAAAATGTTGAGTATAAGATCGTCTTAAGGGTGCCTTCCCCCGGTGGTGCTGAGGGGCCAAAGTGACTTCTTTTCCTCTTACTGGTGGTTGAATTCAGTAACCAGAAGGTACAGGAATCAGGTAAAATCGAAAACCATTTACTTTGAATAACAGATAAAATAATATCAAAATAAGCCCGGTCCTACGCGTTTCGTTCTATTACCAGAACTTCCTCGTGGACCTTTCGCAATAAAACATACAATCAAATGCAGTCAAAAAAATGCCACCTGATACCACCAGGACTGAACAGGCCTATATCTGGGGCCAATGTGCGATCATATTCTATAGTTTATTACTATTTGTATCTACTCATTATTTATAAGGCACAGTATATCACAGAGTGCTGTATAGCTATATACTTTTCAAATAAAATACAGCTGATTAAACACCATGATTTCAAAAAGGTTTACATAGTACATGTGAGAGAGAAGCACCTGGTATCTAATGTAAAACTGAAAAAAACTAAGAATTTTTGGAATGCTGGTGTTTCCAGCATAAAATCGAGAACTGTTTGATGTGTAAAATAGTAATTTTTTAAATAATTTTTTTGATTTAGGAAAACATTATTACGTGTTATTTGTGTTAAAATTGGCATTTGGGATTTGATTTGTGAAAGAACGGACCAAATAAATGAGGCTCTGATTACGGGGTAGAAATGTGAGGGTTTCCATGGCAACACTGGGCAGCCTTTCAACTATTTATAAACAAACCCTCTCCTGAGGATACTAGCATGCTTCCAGTCAATATGTACACACATTCGCTCCTGTGTAAAGACTAATGAAAAATACTTACTGTGGATGCATATTTATAAGTTTTCCTTAATTAGAACAGCTGGGGGAATATTTACTAAATGGGGCATAATTTGGAATCGCTCATTACGAACATCTCCCATTATTTGCATGTTGTGCATATGGATATTTAATAAACTGTATACACAGTTTAAAGATTACACATAAATAGTGCTAATGCTGGAGCTAATCCAGTAAATGGAATATACTGCAAAAATATCCATGATCAATATTATGTTGGAAAACCAGATAGAAGACTTCACGCGTATGTTTAATATCACATTGTATGGCATTTCTTCAAAGATGTGCGTAAATCCGTTTACCAATTTACTAACGTAATCGCAAATGTTCTCTATGATTAAATGATAGTGCCGACCAGGCTCTGTCAGTTGGAAAATTGTTTGGGGTTTATTAACTACACTGAGTTATAGGAAAACTGAAAATTGCAAATTTTAGATAGAGATAGTTTAGAATGTAAGTCGGAGAATTTTCGCGATTCATCTATTTCAGTCTAAAATTGACATTTCCCTTATCAGTTCTTTAAAACTTGCATTTTAGTGAATAAGTCCCTCTTTGTTCTTGACTATAATCAGTATGCATGGGCAGGCAGAATCACATCACTTCATTCTGTGATGCATAAAAGTTGTGTGATGGAAACAAATAAAAAGTTGTGTAAAGTTTCAGAAACTGTCCTAAATTAAATTTACAGAGCTTAGATATGATCAATATAGTGGGAGCCCTTTGGTCGATTCTTACAGATATCTTTGTTTACTAAAAGACTTATTTATAATACAGCCACAACAATTTCCCTGAACATAAACAGAGAACCCAGACCTCGGGGGCGTTAATCTCTTATTGGAGGTGCGATAGGGATGTTTAGCTCCACCTACTTCTCATACTGCTATACTCTCAAATGTATTTTTACTTTAATGTATTTATTTATAAATTTGAGAGGCAGAATTTAAGGTTATTATGACCAATATTGGACAGTTTTAATTATAAACTAGAACACTCTGTTTATTGAATAAATTCTTCAATCAATGCTACCTAACTATCTTCCTTAATTCTATCAGTCAAGCAAATAAATGAATAGAAAATTGACCTTTCGACAGAGAGAAGTTTGCATTAACGAGCAATGCATTGTGCGTTGTAGGGTTAGGAGACACATCCAATTTTACAGAGGAAATGTCCCATTTATGCTTGTGATAATCTCTTTTATGCTCATTTAAAATATGCAGAGAAGGTTAGTAAATATCTCCTAATGCCTGTCATACTAATTGGGCTTTTGGCTCTATTATCTACTGCCTTTTTTCAAAAGCACCAAGATTAACATGGTGCAAACATGTTCTCATGCTCATGATTTTTTGCGCAAGTTCACTCTTGCCAACCTTCTGCGTGGAATTTACTAAGACAGAGAGGGTGTTTACAGGTGAGGAATCATGAAAAAGAGGAGCCTTAAAATGGACATTCCAGCAACTGTTATTTTATCTGTATTTGTCAATGGACTAGACCAGGGGTGGGGAACCTTATATTTGCCAAGGATCATTTGGATATTTAAAACATCATTCGGGCCATGCAAAAATATCAACTTGAAAATTAGCCTGCTGTATTTGGTCAAACATTTAATTAACTCACTCCTAATGTGATGGCCGGAACTGATTCTCTTTAATGTGATGTTAGCTGGTATTGATGATGTTGCTACTCGCAGTGTGTGTGTGTGTGTGTGTGTGTGAGAGGGGTGTGAGATGGATGTAGTGTGTGTGTGTGAGAGAGGTGTAGTCTGTGTGTGAGGGCTGCAGTGTGTGTGTGTGTGTGTGTGTGTGAGTGAGGGATGCAGTGTGTGAGGGGTGAAGTGTGTGTGTGAGGGGTGCAGCGTGTGTGAGAGGGGTGCAGAGTGTGTGTGAGGGGTGCTGTGTGTGGGGGGTGCAGTGTGTGTGTGAGAGGTGTAGTGCGTGTGTGTGAGGGGTGTAGAGAGTGTGTGTGTGAAGGGTGCAGTGTGTGTCTGAAGGGTGCAGTGTGTGAGAGGGGTGCAGAACGTGTGTGAATGGTGCAGAGTGTGTGTGTGTGTGTGTGGTGCAGTGTGTGTGAGGGAGTGCAGTGTGTTTGTAAGAGGGGTTCTGTGTGTGTGGGATGCAGCGTGTTTGTGTGAGGGGTTCTGTGTGTTTGTGTAAGGGATTCTGTGTCTGTGTGGTGCTGTGTGTGTTTGTGTGAGTGGTGCTGTGTGTTTGTGGGAGGGGTTATGTGCTTGTGTGAGGGGTTTTGTGTGTGTGTGAGGGGTGCAGTATGTGCATTTGTGTGAGGGGTGCTGTGTGTGTGTGTGAGTGAGTGGGTGCAGTGTGTGTGTGTGTGTGTGTGTGAGGGGGTGTAGTGTGTTTGTGTGAGGGGTTCTGATTCTCTTTAATGTGATGTTAGCTGGTATTGATCTACGCGCAGTGTGTGTGTGTGTGTGAGAGGGGTGTAAGTGTGTGTGTGAGAGAGGTGCAGTGTGTGTGTGAGAGCTGCAGTGTGTGTGTGAGGGGTACAGCGTGTGTGAGAGGGGTGCAGAGTTTGTGTGAGGGGTGCTGTGTGTGGGGGGGTGCAGTGTGTTTGTGCGATGATTATGTGTGTGTGTGAGAGGTGTATTGTGTGTGTGAGGGGGTGTAGTGAGTGTGTGTGAAGGGTGCAGTGTGTGTCTGAAGGGTGCAGTGTGTGAGAGGGGTGCAGAATGTGTGTGAATGGTGCAGAGTGTGTGTGTGTGTGCTTGGTGCAGTGTGTGTGAGGGAGTGCAGTGTGTTTGTAAGAGGGGTGCTGTGTGTGTGAGGGGTGCTGTGTGTGTGTGTAAGGGATTCTGTGTGTGTGTGGTGCTGTGTGTGTTTGTGTGAGTGGTGCTGTGTGTTTGTGGAAGGGGTTATGTGCTTGTGTGAGGGGTTATGTGCGTGTGTGAGGGGTGCAGTATGTGCGTTTGTGTGAGGGGCGCTGTGTGTTTGTGTGAGGGGTGCTGTGCGTGTGTGTGTGAGGGGTGCAGTATGTGTGTTTGTGTGAGGGGTGCTGTGCGTGTGTGTGAGGGGGTGCAGTGTGTGTGTGTGAGGGGGTGTAGTGTGTTTGTGTGAGAGGGGTTATGTTTGTGTGAGAGGGGTTCTGTTTGAGAGGGGGTGCAGTGTGTATGAGGGATTCTGTGTGTGGGGGGGTGCAGTGTGTTTTTGTGAGGTGTTCTGTTTGTGTGGGGGGTTGCAGTGTGTTTGTGTGAGGGGTTCTGTTTGTGTGGGGGGGTGCAGTGTGTTTGTGTGAGTGTGTGTGGTGCAGTATGTGTGTGAGGTGGTACTGCACCTGACTTCACTATTTTCTTCCCACGAGCACAGTGCTGTTGGAGGGCTGCCATAGTAACGAGCAGCAACGCTCCGACCTCCATGCTCGCGGGAGGATCACAGCTTCCCAGCTCCTCCCTCCCTCCCACTCCTTTAACAAACTGCCCAGAGACCGGTGAGGGAGATCTTTGATCTCCACACTGGCCCGAAAAAGGCAGATAGCAAGGTCTGCTCTCTCTACGGGCCAGTCCAAATGATTAGACAATGTTGTCGTGCTTGATGAGGTGATTACAATTTGTTCCTTTAATGATAAATTGAGAAAATAATATTTTTGACTTTCGAAAATCTGTCAGCGTTGGCATTGCTATGAGAACTTGAACACCAAAATTTAATTTGGTATTATATTGACCAGTCTATATTACATATAATATACAGAATGGACTGTTAAATACTACATGAAAAATAATACAATAATACTAACAAGGTGATTTATGATATTAATCTGCCCCTACTTTTGCTATTAATTAGTAGATAACCCAGAGAATTCAATGTGAATTTTTAAATTGTAGGCCTAAATATTAAAAATGGGAAAAAGATCCCCAAGTCATGTGTGTTTTCAATTCCTCTAATTTGGCCTAAAATGTGGAATTAATTATTTTTTAATTAACACTTTACTGAATAGCCCTGCCAGGATTTTTGTGTATTTTTTATATTCTTTACAAGCCGAGTCGGGTAGCTCTAAAAATAGCCGTTATATGATGCCCTGGTGATTGTCAGACTGTAAAACACGGTGCTTTCAAAGACTTGATTCGCTATTCTCCCTAGGCATTAACCAATTGAAAATATCCATTATATTGAGTCCTTTCCTAATCTCACATAAGAAAATCTAATTTATCCCAACACTTTCTGACATGGCGTCAGAGATTGAAGCTGAACAAATCAATGCCATGAAAAGCCGTCTCCTTTATACTGTGGCCTTAGAAGAGAAAATTCCGCTAATACCATAAGTCACCTTTCCCCCTGCTATTCACTATCTCTGTTTAATGTCTCAGTCCGGATGCTGGTAATAGGAACACGTGAAATTTGGAGTGAGTTTTACTTGTTATTAAGTAACGAGCTGAAACAGTGAGTGAAATACAGAGGGATTTAGGATTCTGGATGTAAATAAAATCTCAGGTATTTGTAAGATATTATACACATGTTTTTATTACATATTTATAAATATACATATTTATGTAATAATAAACATTCAATAGCACAATCTACAGTATGAATATCTATACTTAATTCATACATTACTATAAGTTTTCTTGCTGTGGAGCTCTGTGATACACTTATACTACACACAATTATTATTTTGTGATATACTCATATACACTGCATATTACTGTGAGTTGTATTGCCATGGAGCTCTGTGATGTACTCATTTACACTGCATATTACTGTGAGTTTTATTGCCATGGAGCTCTGTGATGTACTCATTTACACTGCATATTACTGTGAGTTGTACTGCCATGGAGCTCTGTGATGTACTCATATACACTGCATATTACTGTGAGTTTTATTGCCATGGAGCTCTGTGATAATCCATACACAATAAAGATCCTGATTGCCTCACATAGCCGGACACATAGAGAGAAGATTGAGGGGATTTCAGTCTGGGAAGGGTAGCTAAGCCCAATTTAAGTTCTATCTTCATAATCACCATCATGGTTGACAGTTCTCAGTTTGCTGTTTTTTTGGTTTCATGAGTTTTCCAGAAAAGGCCATGTAGTCTATGTGTGTGTAATCAAACCAGATACCTGACATTAAAAACTCAGATGATCTAGCAAGATAACAGTGGCTACTGATTGGTGTAAGATAGAGCACCAGGTTATCCGAAGTCTTATCCTGACTCTCAGTCTCAGTCTGCATATTGAAATGGAGCATGATCGATCATTGGCAGAGACTGGCATTGCCAAGCACCAACCATGGCTCCCAAATCAGATCATCAGGCATGAAGTGACCCTCCATCCATTGTATCTCCGTAGCAGGAGACCTCCTCGGAATACGAGTGTGTCAGGTGCCCGATCCCTACTTTGTTACTCAGAAATGTAGTAACATTTAATAACTGGGTTCCATGTATGTATGCAGATAAGCAGTCACTTTGAATTCCTGACAATTCTCACTATAGTAAATAACCCTTTTAGATTTGCCATACTTTTGGACAAAACAAATACACAGTATCACGTCGTCACTTGCTGTATGTTTTTATAGTTACATTTATCGGGAGATTGATTGATAATTGTGTTTCAGAAAGCAGCTGGAAGCAGGAATATAGAAGAGTGCATGACTTAGTGAATATTTACTGGTACATAATCTAAAAGAAATATGTTTGCCACAGTGAATTCAATGATTTCTTTTTTATTATTTCCTTCATGTGGCACAGTTGGAATTGTTTTTGCTTTTTGATCAAGAGCTGTAACACGGAGGTTTAAAAGGCTGAACTCAGGAAGCTCTTTCAAGCTATACTGCTGTGTAACTGTATAAACCTGCAACCTGGCAGTATTACAGCTCACGTGTTGTCTATCTTTTAGTTTACAAGAACTGGAAGAAACTACGTCTACCTTTGGTATAACATCTCTTTCTTTAGGGGGAGGCGAAAATGGTCAAAGATGGGAATGTGTTTCGCATAGTTCAATCCAATTGCTGGGATCCTGAAGTGAGGTTAAAAGAAATGGATCAATCAGGTAAATGTATATAGCAAAGACATTCTGATATAATATATATTGTACTTTATAACTCCAAATGGGCAAATACACATCCAACCAGTAGTGGCAGTAATTAAAGTGAGATTTATGCAACTGTTACTAACAGAAAAGTAGATCAAAGTTTTCAATGTAGAGCAGTCACAAAGGAAACCAATTCAATCAGAAATAACATTCCATTTGTTTCCAAGGTGATTGCGCCCCATTTAGAACTTTTCTCTTACCGACACAACTTTACCATGGTTTGCAAGTACAAGAAAGTTATAGAAATGAATAAATAAAACAAAGTAGGTGCACTTGCTGACAAAGGCATGCATTCATTCATCCTGGCAGAGGGATTATGTCTTTGCTGCCAACTCGCTGCCTGCGTATCGTTGTGCAATTTGCAAGGTAGAGCTTGGTATTTAACAGAAGTTACAGTATCTCACAAAAGTGAGTACACCCCTCACATTTTTGTAAATAATTTATTATATCTTTTCATGTGACAACACTGAAGAAATTACACTCTGCTACAATGTAAAGTAGTAAGTGTACAGTCAGTATAACAGTGTAAATATGCTGTCCTCTCAAAATAACTCGACACAAAGCTACTAATGGCTAACCCGTTGGCAACAAAAGTGAGTACACTCCTAAGTGGAAATGTCCAAATTGGGCCTAAAGTGTCAATAGTTTGTGTGGCCACCATTAAATTTTCAGCACTGCCTTAACCCTCATGGGCATGGAGTTCACCAGAGCTTCACAGGTTGCCACTGGAGTCCTCTTCCACTCCTCCATTATGGCATCACGGAGCTGGTGGATGTTAGAGACCTTGCGCTCCCCTGTCTTCTGTTTGAGGATCCCCACAGATGCTCAATAGGGTTTAGATCTGGAGACATGCTTGGCCAGTCCATCCCCTTTACCTGCAGTTTCTTTAGCAAGGCAGTGGTCATCTTGGAGGTGTGTTTGGGGTCGTTATCATGTTGGAATACTGCCGTGCGGCCCAGTCTCTGAAAGGAGTGGATCATGCTGTGCTTCAGTGTGTCACAGTACATGTTGGCTCTCATGGTTCCCTCATTGAACTGTAGCTCCCCAGCGCTGGCAGCACTCATGCAGGCCCCGACCATGACACTCCCACCACCATGCTTGACTGTAGGCAAGACACACTTGTCTTTGTACTCCTCACCTGGTTGCCGCCACACAAGCTTGGCGCCATCTGAACCAAATAAGTTTATCTTGGTCTCATTGGACCACAGGACAAGGTTCCAGTGATCCATGTCCTTAGTCTGCTTGTCTTCAGCAAACTGCTTGCGGCTTTCTTGTGCATCATCTTTAGAAGAGGCTTCTTTCTGGGACGACAGCCATGCAGACCTATTTGATGCAGTGTGCGGCGTATGGTCTGAGCACTGATAGGCTATCTTCTTATAGCCTAGGCAATCTTTATGTAGAGCAACAATTCTTCTTTTCAGATCCTCAGAGAGTTCTTTGCCATGAGGTGCCATGTTGAACTTCCAGTGAGCAGTATGAGAGAGTGTGAGAGCGATAACACCAAATTTAACACACCTACTCCCCATTCACACCTGAGACCTTGTAACACTAACGAGTCACATGACACCGGAAAGGGAAATTGGCTAATTGGGCCCAATTTGGACATTTCCACTTTCGGGTGTACTCACTTTTGTTGCCAATGGTTTAGCCATTGATGGCTGTGTGTTGAATTATTTTGAGGGGACAGCAAACTTACACTGTTATACAGGCTGTACACTTATTACTTTACATTGTAGCAGAGTGTCATTTCTTCAGTGTTGTCACATGAAAAGATATAATAAAATATTTACAAAAATGTGAGGGGTGTACTCACTTTTGTGAGATACTGTATGTCACCTTATATACCCAAAGCCCACGCTAAACCAAATTGGCCAAAGTGACCATTCATATCATGGTGATATAGGTCATCTCCTCTGTGTTTTTTTTTATTTTTTATATTCTATGCCTAGGGGCACCTGGGGTGTAAAATTAATAATTAATTATATAATGGAATTATTGAATAAACTGGCTACTGCAATTATTAGCTACTAATATGGAGATTTGTTGCACTATGTCTGCTGGTAAATTTCTTTACTGTCATGTGTCAAATCACAGCCATTTAAGTTTTTTTGAATGGAAAACTGATATTTCTACATACAGGTGTGACAGTGCAAGCCCTGTCTACCGTCCCTGTAATGTTCAGCTATTGGGTAAGTACTAAAACACAAAAATAACTGTAAAATAATAAAAAGTGCTTCACTGATTTCTAGATATCATAACGTTCTGAATCCTGTTTTATTTGCAAGAAAATATAATAGAAGAAATGCAGTGGTCCTGTGCATTCATCATTTTCCTGGCCCTCTCAACCACATCAGACTGAAACAGTATAGCTTCACGGAGAGTGTAAATCGCATATTGCTTACTATTATCAGGTTCAATAAAAAAAAATCTAATTTTTCCACAATTATGAATTGCCATTAAAATCCAAAACTTCAAAACAAATTCAGCAAACAAAAATAAATTATGACTCACAAAAGCAAATAATCTGGCATCAAAATCTACAAACGTCCTATATTCAATATTTAACAATACTCTAACAAGACTCTGAGTCCAGTCCTTAGAGGTCTCCAGACCTCGGGAACACATATACACTATTAGACCCTTTGCTTCTCCTGTGAGTTTGCAAAAGACTTACCTTAAACCAGGAATATTTTTCTTTTTACAACAATTATTGTCTTTCATAGAGGGTTTTCCTTTTCTATTTGGGAATTTCCACCATGCTGTTAAATGTAAGTTGGGGTACGACCCCATGACACACTGTAATGTCTATGCAGGAGAAGACTGCCAAATTTTGGACTTGTGGGGCAAGTACAAATAAATAAACCTTTTTTAGACCAAACTAACATACCATCCAACACCCAAATACAAAAGAGTTGCCCACTAAGCCATAGAACTCTGTGCTGACACCCCTGCATATAAAACATATTTACCGGCTTATTTACTTCACAATAATATCTCTTTAAACAGGCAAAGCCTCAGGACACGCAGGACCTATCCCGTTTCTTAAATGATCATTTGGCAGCAGTTGTTCGGAAGCATCCTAAAAGATTTGTAGGCCTTGGAACATTACCGATGCAAAGTCCAGAGTTGGCCATAGAGGAGATGCATCGATGTGTGAAAGAGCTTCAATTTCCAGGTGTACAAATAGGATCCCACGTTAACCAGTGGGACTTAAATGCACCTGAACTTCATCCCATATATGCAGTAAGTATCAATCAATCATTCAGTCAATCACTATGTTGAAAGGGAACTATCAACAAAGTAACTAACTCCAGTCAGGAGATTCTCATTCTGTAATAAAGCATCTGATTTTATACCATAAATCCCTGACCTGCAGATTACTATATTACATTATGGATAAGGAGACATTTCCACTTATCAACTAGGATGAGTAAAACTGCATTAAAAACGAATAGCATCCTTACTGCCATACGTTTCAGATCATGCACCTTGACTCTCAGCTGACCTATAGAGAAAAATCCTTCTTATTAGTACATGCGTCACAATTCACACATAAAAGGAGGAAGTTCTGCAATTAAAAGATACTATGAACATAGAGATTGGGCCCTCGGCAGAGGTGTTGCTAAGTATACGCTTTGGAGGCTGAAACCTCAAAGATGTTTCTTTTACCCCAGAACCCTTATGCATGGTGGAGGGGCAGCAGGTAACACTACCTGAACAATGAGTATTGATATATGTGTCCGATATATTTTTTTAATACATTATATATTTTTGATAGTTCAATATTTTGAGAAATTGTTTTTGAAAGTTTATTGAAAAATATGAAATAATGTAAAAATCTTATCCAACAATATTAAATCAAGGTCTAAATTGGTGACTAAAAGGCTGAAATGCTACAAAAGAAGGAGCCTTAGGGTGGAAATCTTGGTTTTGTCTTCATCTCAATGTATTTTTGGAACTTTGTAACATCCCTGGTTCAGAATGCTCAACATACCGTAACCTTTGCAATAACAAAGAGTTGCTTTTGATACTTAGCGTGACCCTTCAATTTCCCCATTTACAGCATGTTCTCTACAGAGCACAAAAATGCGAGGTTGTAACTGGAGTCACAGTTATCAGCTGACAAGCATCCTCTGTGATCATTTATTGACCATCTGTCTTCATGTAGGCAAGAGCAGCCATATTGAATAAGTGTCATATCACTTCATTTGAATATTCCTTTAAGTATCCAGAATACTGGCAGTTTCTAACAATGAATTATTCATTACCTGCCAGCCTTTGATATCAAAGTGCTCAGCTAGAATTTAAGATGTTTACAGTAGAACTTTGAACTTGTCCTTACTTGAAGGAGCATAAGAGTAACGTAACTATTACAACTCGTTGTGGTGGCATATCATCCCCTGTTTGAGACCAGTGTATAAAAAAAACAGGTGGGCGGAGCATGACCATGGAACGGAGCAGACGCCATACTGCTGTGATCCTGCAACACTGCACAGAATCCCACAAATATGAACTGAATCCTGCATCAGTGCCAGATGAAAGGGGGCCAGACTGCTACTGAACACCTCAACCTCCTGATCGATGCCCTTTTTATTCGACCCAGGCACGAAACGGCGGCACCACAAGGTAGGGGCCTACCTCACGCCATACTTCTTTGGGTCAGGATCCCGTATAGCTCCCACGGAGATCAGGGGAAACCCCACTCAGCCTGAAACCTCGCAAAGGTGCCCACAAGACCCCACACAAATGGGACGCAGGTCACAGAAACCCACAGTGCCAGCACCCACCAACAATAGGTGGCATATCTGGCAACCAAAGAGGACAGTTAAGCCCTATATCAAAACATACAAAAACTATTTCCTGCAGACATAGCAGTGGTCAAAACAGAAATTCAAGCAGTCACAGACAGAGTCAAAGCCGCTGAAGAAGACGTCATGGATCTGCAGACAGGCCTAGCCTCTGTACAGAAATCCATTCAAAGCCTTCACCAATCCCATACCTCTATAACTGTCCAAATGGCACTCTTAGAAGACAAAAGCAGGCGCAGCAACATTAAGATTCGGGGAGTCCCTGACACGATCCCCACGGAGGAATTACCACATTACCTCAGGCGCCTAGTGTCCACTCTCCTGTTTAGTTGTTACTCAATTATATTTTATGTCTAAGATCTATACTCAAGCAATATCAATGCCTAGGAAATGCAATGGCTTTAGCATAGCTTCTTTCACTATCCCCCCAACGCATGGTATATATTTCTCATCGTTATTGTTCCTGTTATTTATTTTTTATTTTTTTTATGAGTGCTGTATCTCTGGCATTTTCCAGCAATCATGCTTTTAACCTCATGGTCTTTTTTTCCATGTAAAAATGTCAATGTAAGCCTGTTAACTAAGCACTGCAAAAATGAAGAATTATAAAACAAAAAAACAAAAAACCTCTTGCTGGCACCCAGAGACCATTCCCCTTTAGCCAAATTAAATAACGCAAAATGTACTCTTCCACATTATCTATATCAGTCTTTTTCTCAATAAATGGCAGTGATTGGCTCCAGGCTAGCCCACCTCCAGTTCTCTCAGCTTATCATTGCCATCCAGGGTACACAAAATTGATATTGATTTAAATTTCTGCATTCAAATTAAATGATGAGGGGGCAGTCTCTGAGAGCTCTGGAGTGCCCAAAAACTGGTCAAACTGTGCTTATACAGTTTAACCATATAACTAGGGACAACGCGTATAGACTTATTACACCATATCAGAGCAATGAGCTAGGTGGGTACATCGCTAAGACTGACCCTTTAAGTGTATTTTTATTTATTAGTCTGACCGGATTTCTTTTGCAGGTTATCAGAAGGCGTTTTTTATTGTATAACCAAGAATTATTGTAAACTAAACCATGTATAACTTTTGAGGAATTGTCATTAACGCGATGTAACTAAAAACATAAATTTCTGGAATTTGTTATACATCGCCCAAAAGAAAACACAAGCAGGTAACAGGACTGATTTTAAAGAACACATAACAAGACAGTGTGAACAAGCAATTTACGAAATTGAGGGTGTCCTTTTTCCAACCATAACACTTTTCCTGTGTTGCCTGGAGAAGTAATTGTTCCGATCACAGGAAGTAAATGAGATTTTGATTAGTGTATGGATTTTCCAACTGTCTATCAGCATAAGCGAAATTAAATCTTTAACACAATTATCAACAGAAACCAAAAATAGACAACATAGATATTTTTCTTTTTTGGAAGTTTATGTCAGAGTTACTATTCAACCTGTTTAAAAAAACAGAATAACCATTCTACTAGTTTGTCTTGTCTACCAAAGTGTGATAGAGGGTATTTTAACATTAAAACGTCAGTTCGGAGTGGAGCCAAGCCACGGACCTGAATGGCCACACGCTACCAAAGCTCTGGACCAAGCCACTGCAGTAAACCCTCTAACACTGCACAAAACCCTTACAAAGGGTACCAACAAGCACCACTAACTAGGTGTGAGGAGATGGGCCCGACAAGCCCCGGCTGAGCGGAACTATGGGTGACTTATGGCAGCAGGCCTGCAACAGCACAGGCCCAAACATGGCCGACTACGCCGATGATTACTCCGAAATGTCAGACGATTTCACAAGCGGGGCTGAACTACACTGCCCACCCATCTTGACAGCTCCCGGCCAAGCAAACCTACAAGCGGACAACTCACCCGTGACCACCATGGTAATGAAAAAATTGCTGGCGGGGCTGCAACTCACCATACAGGCAGACATGGCCCAGATATGCGGAGACCTGCAAGGCCTGACAGGCCGCCTGACCACGTTGGAAGCAGACTCCCGCCACAACACGCAGGAAACAGTGTGGCTATACAAAGCTGTGCACAACCTGCAACAACTGTCCCACACAACAGATCAATGATTTGCAGACCTCGAAGATCAGAGAAGCCTGAACATTAAAATCAGGGACCTCGGAGAGGAGATCCCGGAAGCGGAGGTACTGCACTTCATACGGCGCCTGCTGGCCGCTCTGTTACCCACCAAACAGGCCAAACAGGTGACTTTGGGGGGGATGTTCCGCCTCCCACGTCCAACTAAAGCACCAGCTACAGCACCGAGAGACCTCCTAGTTTGCTTCCTGAGCCACAGGGACAGAGCAGCGGTCCTCCAAGCGACCAGGACACAGACACCATACGTGATCGAAGGCAGACAGCTCTCATGTTACGCGGACCTCTCAGGGGCGACACTGGCCTCGCGCCACACTTTGAAACCCTTCACGACCCTCATAAAATCACCTACCAGTGGAGGCGACCCTGGGCGCTCCTGATTCAACACGGCAACACTTCATACATGGTCCACGACCTACAAGGTGCCAGGGATCTCCTGCCAACCCTGGGACTGCCACAGAACACCCTAACCACTGCAGGACCGGCCCAACCGTCGACAAGGTGTCAGGATCTGCTCTCCTCTGTTCTGTTGTCTGACTTGGTTTCTGGTATCCAGTGCTCTTTTTACAATTCTTGTTTAGTTTTTCTTGGTTTTCTATTCTATGTCTGGTTTTCTTTATGCTGGGTTTCTGGGTTCATTCTTATATTCCGTCCCTGGATTTCCCAGTCTCTTGGATTCATTTAAATGTTTGTTTTATGTTGCTACCCCCGTTTGTTTTCCATTTTCCTTTTGTTTCAGTCTGGACCTGCAGCAGTGTTTCAAGTCTCTGCCCTTTCTTGCAGGTAAGTGCTATTGTGGTTTAGTATGGTTCTCTTAGCGAACATTAGGCAGTGTAGGACCTGCTGAATATGGGGTACATTGGCGTTGTGTCAGGCTTATGCAATGTATGAGCATATAATGTGACTAAATCCCCATACTTTTCATATATAGTGCTTAGTTATGTCTCCTCTTGTTTTGCCTATTATATCTTGTCTTGTTTCATTTTGTAATCCCAGTCCTTGTACTGTCCTGCCCCTGTTTAGTTAATGTTCCCTCATGTCTTGTGTTCATGTTCTGGGTTTAGCTTTCTGTCCTGCTCTGGTTCTGTCTTGTTTTCATGTTTGGTCCCTGTTCTAGTCTTGCCTTGTTTCAGTACTGGATCCATCTCAGCATATGTCTGCTCTGGCTTCCACTAAGCTGCATCAGGGACTTGGTATGTGGCCGCACAAACGTTGGTGATTAACACCAGGAGGCGTGCGGTTACCCTGCACCGGGCCCTGTACTCCACTTCCACACTGTGACTCCTACTCTGAACATCAGGCATACATGGGTCCAGGTCCACGCACCGCCGCCCGGACAGTGTCTGGGTCCTGGGCATCAGACCACTCCACAAGGTCAGCAATGAAAGACCCTCCGACAGCAACACCATTCATCCCCCGACAGGCAGGAGCAAGCGCATCAACATCACCAACGATGAACGGCCCCTGAGATGCCCCGGGACTCAAAACCACCTAGTACTCACCTCTTAAAAGCCCCAGGGCTACACGGACATACCATTTTCAGTGACTGGGACTCTTCCTTTCCTTACCCACTGTGCCTAACTGCAAGTTCACCTCCCCCCCTCCTCTCCCCGGGGTAATGGGGTACACTTTTCTAGCATGAGCACGTAGCTCACAAACCCACGTACCAGAAATAGCTCCCTAACTGCCCTAGCATGATAACGAGACCATACCTAAATCATTATGTCAGCTAGCCAACAGCCCCTAGCAATGCCGGTCACACCGGCTATATGACCATGCCACTAGACCCCCAGGTTCACACGGTAACACCGACTCCCACTACCCAAAATAAAATACCCTCAGCTCATGGCCCTTGGCTATTAAACTCCACATGTATGTCACACAACATTGTTCAAGTCTAACTATATGTATATGCTGTATTCTTTCTCACTGTTATCTTTCTTATGTAACACTCAACTTTAACGCTGAAACCATGACCTGAGACAAAAATAAAGAATTTTTAAAAAAGTCTGTTCGTACCGTTATTCAATTAGTGATATATTTAATAGAATGGTGGTAGCCATCTTCCCGTGCATTATGGGTAAGTATGGATGCACCCAAAGCCCATATCAAGAAGTGAAGCTTAGGTAACACTGACATTTCATTTTACATGTTCTGTCTCACTGTTCTAAAACACATACCATACTCAGTAGTTATTTTGTAACCATAAAGACCCTACATGATTATACTAATGGTGAAAAACATCAGGAAATACCAGAAACCTAGAAATGGCTTTAACATGACTTTCAGAATTTATTTGCATTTGTGTCTGTTTTAGGCTGCTGAAAAATTAAACTGTTCCATATTTGTGCATCCCTGGGACATGCCGGTGGATGGGAGAATGTCAAAATACTGGCTGCCATGGCTGGTAGGTTAGTATTTTACGGTTTGGCCACCTGTCAGAGGAATTTACTCTTGAAGGGTTTATTTACTAAGTACTTAACTGCGGTAAACTGAAAGCTGAATTTCAACATTTAAAGGGACACTATAGGCACCCAGACCACTTCATGTCATTGAAGTGGTCTGGGTGCAGTGTTCCTGTCTCCTTAACCCTGCAATGTAAAGCATTGCTGTTTCAGAGAAACTGCAATGTTTCCATTGTAGGGTTAAGACTGCCTCTTGTGGAGTTTGCAAGCTTTGCATGAGGATGTCTAGTGTCTTCACAAACTCCACAGGAAAACTTTGTTTCAATGCTTTCTAATGGGTAAGTTCTAATGCGCATGCAGCCCTCGCCACGCCTGAGCATTAGGACATCCATCAGCGTGACAGCGCTGCAAGGGGAGAAGGAATTAAGGTAAAAGTGTTGTTTGTGACCCTTTCAACACCCGATGGGAGCGCAGAGGGACACTATAAGGTTAGGAATACAGTTTTGTATTCCTAATTCTTTAGTGTCCCTATAAGCTAAAATAACTAAGCTGTGACTAGATTTGTTTTACCAGATAACCTATTCTCTTTCTTTTACCACTTTGTTATCAATGTATTTTCAGATACGATAGGAGTCTATCTAAGTACTATAACCACTACAGCTCAGTATAGCAGCTATGCTGCCTAGAATCTGTGAAAGCCATCCCTTGGTGTTTTAGGGAACAGTTAGGGAACAGTTTCACAAAAAAACAGGTTTTCTTCCCAGTACCAGAGTCCCCCCTCTTCAGCGCTCTCAAAATATCTCAATCTAAAATAAGGGATGAAATTGATACTGATAACATAGGGAATTTAAATATGATCAAGTTGGCTAAGAAGGGGTGGTCTTTTGTCAAACAATTCCCTAACTATGTGAGATACAACAGAGGATGGCCTCATAGACGATTGACAACATAAGGACTGAGCTGCAGGGAGCCTAGACTGCCCCTTTAATAAAAATGATTGTTTCAAAATATCTCTTGAGACTTATCAGGTCAATCTGTCATATTCGTTCTTCTTAAAGTAATTAATTTAAAAAAAAGTAGATGGAGCTGGAACGTAGCTAATTGAATGTTCAGAGATTAACAGAACATTTTTACATCATATAATTGTATTCCAGACAATGAGACGCAAGAACGAAACTGATTAACAATTATACTTTATTTTGAGAAATGAGAAATGATGGATTAATTGCCCTCAGTTTATGTAATGAGGTTTAAGCTCTTCTACAGTTAAAGAAACATTAATATAGAAAGTGAAAAGAGATCATGTCACTTAAAATGTCACGCACCAGAGTCTGTGAAAAATCTTAAAATATTGCAAATCCTTCAATTATAGTCCATGCAATGATACAAAGATTGAATTGTAACAAACTCTAACTTGGGCCTTGAGTTAATATTCTTGGATAAGCTTTTCAAATGATCACAATCTGTTAGAAATGATTTACCTACAGAAATTATCAAGAGATACCATAGTCATCAAACCAACTTTAGCTCAATTAAGTAGTTTTGGTCTAGAGCTTGTGCCCCTGCAGTTTTTGGCTTAATTCTCTTCCAATTCTCTCAATTATTTTTAGCATGAAAGAGGTGATCGTGTTTTAACTGGATTTACTAACCTTCCATTCTTTTGTGTTTATCTCAAGGCATGCCAGCCGAGACTACCACCGCTATCTGCTCCATGATTTTCGGTGGAATATTTGAAAAGTTTCCAAAACTTAAAGTTTGCTTTGCACACGGAGGTATAGTTACTTAGCGATGCAATAAAAGGTGCAATGAATAATGTTTCCTGCGAATAATGGATACACCTCATTTAATTCAGGAGATCCTACTTCCCGAGTTTCAAAAAAAAAAGGAAATGCCAAGTGTGTGCCTTAGCTGTGCCATGAATGAACTGGATTGTGATGTCAATGGCTAAATGTTTAATATACATTTAAAGGAAACATATTAGGGCAAATTTTTCTATTTTTCAATTCAAATGTGTTAATTATAGAAAAAATATGGTTCCATTTAAAAGGGACAATCTTACGTAGATAATTGTAAAAGCGTATTGCATAATTGTTCCTTGTTGCATTGTTACAGCTAATTGTAGTGGTCATGGTGCAAGAAAGTGCACTTTGAGAGAACACACGTGTCCGCTATGGCCCACCGCTTTTCTCACAAAAGTGATAATGGCAAAATGTCGTTTTCTCAATAACCATCCAAAATATTTCAACCACGTTAAATTTCACTTCCTCGTTGTCTTTAGAAAACGTTAAATTTTATTAGCACGCAGTGATTGGCGTTGAATGCTGGACTGTCCCAGGTTTGGCTGCTCCAGGTCTCTGAAATCCTTTCTCCCTCTCTGCAAGCATCAAATTGCCATTTGATGACTTTTTAGTTCAAAGTAAGCAAACTGTAAAAAAATCTCCAAGTAGACATGCTTTAGTTTCTACTGCCACAATTATTTCATGAAATAAGCCGTTCAAACAACCCCTCAAATCCAATTTATTTCAGAAAAATGAACTTTGTCAAGAAAGCACGGCTAGGATAAGATGTTCTAGAAAACCGACTGATTGGATTTTAGGTGTTAGCCTAGACACCTATCCATATCCTGCCATTCAAACTTATCATCTTTCTCATCTGTCTTTTCCTGCTGCTTTAAGCATTTTTTGATCAGACTTGATAAGTGAGCGATAATCTTGTCATTCCGTGCCAGATGTCTGTAATTATTACATGTTAGCAACCCCTTAATAATCCCTTTAAAACAAATCTCCTGCTTTATTAGGGGGGGAACCACTAATAACGTCAAGACATGCCAACAATGCAAAAGGGCAGTCACGGATAAATCAGTGACCGGAATGTCTCCGATTTAAATATGGCGGGGGAGAATGTCCTTCTCTGCAGAATTCACTGTATTTAATACAATGATATGCATAATTTAATCACTATGTTTTTATACTGATTTATATTTAATGTATAATTTCTTGTTTTTGAGTAGGTTATTGATTGCAGAGTTTTTAAGTTCTACTGAATTTTAGTCTATGTTTTTGAATCTATGTTTTGTCTGGGGAAATGAACAAATCCCACATAGATCTTGGCAGACACAAAGATTGTGTAATGAAATTGATTTGTCTAGTGTTCTTTAATATTTTTCAGGTGGGGCTTTTCCGTACACCATTGGCCGCATTAATCATGGCTTCAACGTTCGTCCCGATCTTTGCGCAATTGATAACACGCTCCCTCCACAAAAATACTTGGGTTCATTTTATACAGATTCTCTTGTACATGATCCACAGGCCTTGAAGCTTCTAGTAAACATAATTGGAAAGGTGAGTCAATCGTTTTAAACATACTACGGATCAAGCACCCTAAAACTAATTATTCCACCAAATGTTGATAATACTTTATTTCAACACTTTTATATTTATAAAACAAAATTATAGCCTATGAGGATATACCAATTCACTTTTCCCTGACCACCTTTGCTATATGGAGCTCCGATGCCTTTCCTCTTCTACAATATTTCTACTCCCACATCTTTTGAATCTACTTGTCTTGTCGCCCCTACCCAAAATCCCAGATTTCCGCTCTGTGTAGCTATTTAGCTGTGCACTCTTCTCAAAACTCCCTGTATTATAAAAAAAAACAAAGAGAACGTTACCTGCGCTTTGGCCTAAATCCCCATGAACATTTAAACAAAATGGAGGCTCTTTAGTTTTATTCCAATGGCCATTTGAATATATAAGCTCACCTGCCACGTCAAGGCAAGCCACACAAACACACACACATACATACAAACACACACACATACATACAAACACACACACATACATACAAACACACACACATATATACATACAAACACACACACATATACATACAAACACGCACACACATACATACAAACACACATACATACATACAAACACACACATACACACACATAGACACATACATAAAAAAACACAGAGAGAGGCATTCACACACATACACACATACAAACACATAAATACAGACACATACATACAAACACACACAGTCACATACATACAGACAGACACACATACAGAGAAACATTGATACAGACACACAAATACACACACATACATACTAACACACACATATACAGACACATACAAACACACTGACAGGGTACCTTTTGTGTGGACACAGGATGTGTCTCACACTGAAGACTGTTTGCAAAGTCCTGGGGACCTGTCCAACCATTTTCCCACTGCTTCCAGTCATTTTCGCGTCGGCCGCGATAGCTCCGCCCCTTTTATGCCGTGAAAAAGGGGCGTCGACATAGTGACGCTGATGATGTCACAAATCACCAAAACATCCAAAAAATGACATTTTGGGGGTGTGGCTATCGTCCCAGCCAGATACAGCCACAGTATAAAAAGGATTTCGTGAGTTAGGTTCCTTGCCCTGTTGTGGTTCTTCTTAGTCCCAATAGCACGTTGTATTTGTTTGTATTTTCTGTTTTTTGACTTCGGCTTGCTTGGCTATTCTCCCTTCTGTTATCCTTTTGACTCGGCTTGTGTATTCTCATCTTTCCTACCTTTCAGGTGCAGAAGGGTGACATTTCCTGGGGTCCAGTGGCTTAGCTCTGACTCCCTCCTCTCCTTACTCCACCCGTGCGGCTCCCGGTGTAAGCTGGGAGGAGTGACCAGGGCAGTCACTTCCTTTCAGCTCTGATGTCATCTCAGGGGGCCCGGTCATGCTATTAAAGTGCCCCAATGCTGACAGGGCCCCCTGGAATCTCCTAAAAGCATGGGTCACCTGATGGACCCCTTCAATGCAGCCCCAGTGGTCAAAGCCGGTGGGCATCGGGGTCGCAGGGTGGCCAGGCCCCCTGGAGTGACGGGCCCGTTCGCAGCAGCGACCTCTGCGACAGCAGTAGTTCCGTCACTGAGTGCGGGTGTTGGTAGAATAGTCACTATTTGCCTACATTTGCTGGGCTACATAGTGAACTAAATATTGCCCTAAGGATGGTAAACCACGAAGTACATCAGTGTAAAGAAAAGAAAGGGATACAATTGCTAAGCTCCTTATTACTGCTAAACAAAGTATCCAGTGATTATTATGTAGCGATGGGTATAGGAGCAGGGAAAAGTGAATATGAAGGGTATGCACAGGGAAAGCTAATAGTCGATACTGAATCTATGCCTTCAAGGGCATCCTTTAACCCCAAAAAAACGTGAGTTCCTAAATGAAGGTAGATGGAAGCCAACTCACATCCTAAGGTGCAATCGCTTGAGAACGCTGGATCTAAAGATAGTGCTAGTTTTAACCAAAATGATCGTAACCGTTATACTTCATCCGAAATGGTAGGAAGGATACTGACATGCTTGTAATAAAGCCATTACTGTCTTAATAAGAGCACACTTCTGATACAGTGGCTATCATATGCGTCTGTCAGATTCCCCGACACGCGTTTTGCCACTCTGGCTCAGAGCCATAACTTTGCATTCATTTTCCCGGGCTGAAAATAAACTAGCTGCATGAGTTGTGTTATCAAGTCGCAGGGCTACTAGTTATGGTTCACTAGTAGCGTTCCCATATCCATAACTTCCTTAGTTTTACAAATACTCACTGCACAATTACATGACTCCACAATACAATTTCTCAAAATTTGGGACCATTAGTTGAGTTGAGATTTATCTTTGTTTCTGCCATCCATCTCTTCTAGGGTTTTTTGGGATGTAAATCTCTATAGTTACTAGAGTTACAATAGTTATGACCTCCCCCCACCCCTATTCTTTCTGGTAGCCTTCCATCATGGACTCCGACACACCTCTTCTCTTTAGCTTGTCTCTCTTCTTAGTTCTTTCTCCACCCCTTTGTCAACCTTTTCTTATTCCTTTCTTTATTTCTTGTATATTGTTCTTATCCCTACCCTACTACCCCTTGCTATGTTATATTTCCCTTTCCCTCACCCACCTCGTCCTCACGGCTCTAACCAGGTTTAACACTTCCTCACTTATTTATTTACACAACTTGCAACCAATTATTCAATCCCTTTCTGGGCCTGAGATCACACTTTCTCCTTCCCCTTTTTCTTTGTCCTCCACATCTTGGTAATTATAATGATCTCGATATGCTCGAGTGTCATTATATCTCATCTGGATCCCGTGCCATGATTATAGCGTGGCTTCTAATCAGTCCATATGCTATCTTGTTAGCTTTTGTTTACTTTTACTGGGTGGAATCCTTGTTTCTTCCTATACCTTACATTATTTATCCTCTGATGTGTTGTATATGGATGCTATTGCAAACTTCAAAACAAAGCATTTAAATAATAATAATTTTAGCAAATTCAATTGTGAATGGCAAAATGTAGACAAAAATTGCTTATCTAGAAAAATCCTCCAGTTCCTCTCTAGCACATTTTGGCTGCTGTAGCGCAAAATTCGCCTTCTGATTTTAATTTGCTACAAGTCGGAATTAAGTGAATAACACTTTAAGGCTGATTGTGATAAAAAAAACAGTAGTTCTAATCTGTTCTGAATTCATTCATGAAAATATGATTGAATTTTCTTAACTATGATCTAAGTCATAAAATCCCCCTATATATAAACAATCGAGCCAATCTAAAATATATAAACTTATCCGTGGGATTATAAGAAAGCCAATGCCACTTTTCACGTGGCGTTATCTTAATTTGCACAATGTAATTTTATATACAGACTGCCTCACAGCGAAATCATTACCCTAGAACAATCGTAACCACCCACTGGGGAGTAAAAATCACAGCGTGGACAGCAGGCGTAATCTATAAATAATCACATAGCAAACAAGGGAGCATTCTGCTTCTGGATGTAACGTAAATACACACTGCGCAGGATGATAGATGTCTTACATGGGATGGTTACATGCAATTGGAAGGAGACAGAGATACATCCTTGTTGCAAGAACAGACAAGAGATACAAGTGCAGACAACAGTTTCAAGATCATGCAAACCCATACGTCATGTTAAATTGGATTCTATGCTTTAGGGAATATGGGTCCAATGTCTGGCACTGCATAATATCAGGTATCTACTGACCCCTAGTGGAATTTCTAACTATTACAACTGGTTATTGTCCTAAGCAGAGTTCATGTTATCCCTCGAAGGGGAACCAATGTTTTTCTGGAAATCGCCCCACCAAAAAACACATTAAAAATCACTTATAATGCGTACTAACATTTTTTTCATGTGATACTTCATTTTGTTTTGAATGTACAGTAAAGATTTTACAAATTACATCAAAATCCAGTTCATTCCGGGGCGATCATTGCGTTAAAGCGAAAATAAAAACATGTTTCTATTTCTCCTTCACTCTCTGTGCTTGCGCTAGTGACTGAGGGCAGTTAAAGGGGCAGAGCGTATAACAATGATTGATGTGGAACTAGGATGGGGGCTCCTAAAACTAAATGCAAAATTGCCGTTTTCTACAATGAATTTTATTTTAGACATTACAAACACTAATTAGGTCAATTCAAGGGAAAAGGGAAAAATAAGCATAATATTAAAAATCTTAGTATTTCTTCTATATTTTTTCTTGTAACACTAACGTGTTTATTTTGTAACAGGGCTCATGAGAATTCAATGTGAATTCAAAGTTAATTTAAAATTTAAAGTGAAAAGAGCAGAATTAGAAAAATGTTATAAGTCAACCATGCTTTCATTTCAGCTACTCAAATTTAGAATTCCCTTTCGTAAATAACCCTGTCAAAGTTTGAATTATGGGGACATCAAAGTGGTGAATTCAAAGTGAATTTCAAAATTAACATCAAATTAACTAAACTGGAGAATGCTTACAGTTTGGCTACTTTACCCTCAAATTTGAAATTCAAGTTAGTGTTTGCACAATATACAAATATATCAAGGAGTGGGATTGTCAGAAGTAAACGTGTGTACATAGAAATCGGCACTTTTTTTATAATGAGACAAGCATGGTGCATATTCAAGAAGACTTAGCAATGAAGTTTGAGTAAATGGTGAGATAGGTGAGTGATAAGTGGTAAACCACCAGGTTGTGGCAGTTTTGCTTTGGCATAGTACGTGTCACTAGAATGTCAAAGTTAGATGCAGCATAGACTCATACAGCAAAGAGAGAACTAGAACTAAGATGTCTATCGTTACTCTTGGTGTACTATATCTATGAGGATAGACTTAAGATGGGTCCTTGATGATGTTTCAGTTGCAGGCCTGATGTGTACAATAGAGGTGTGAGAGTAAGATGGGTCATAAATAGAAAATTGGAGCTTGTCGGTGGAACATGGGTGTGTTCTTGGCTAGCATGTTCAGGTTTGTAGCTTTCACCTTCTTAGCCTAATTAACCGCTAGGCAAAAAAGGGGGGGACAATGGAGAAATTAGCTATTCGGTCTAAAAAGGGTTGAGGTAATTATCCTGCTCTATGTGTGAGTAAGGATGTGGGCTTTTGTGCACTGTGGGGAAGAGGTTGCCTAAGTGCATGAGTCCCGAACTGGGACTGTAAGAGGTAGTCCTATTTTGAGGTCAGGTTTTGGCTTTGACCCGTCCCCCCGATGTGGCCAGCCTGGGCGCAAATTCTGCAGCAATCCCTGAGTTCCATCTGTGGGTCGGTTGAGGCGCTGCACTCGGGGCGCCAATGCTGAAGGAGTGTTGGGGGATTCCCAAGCGCTGCAGCATCATTGCAGCTTCCTGGAGGTCCTGAATGATGTGGGTTGAATCCCCGTGGAGGACTGACAATGATCGAGATGGGCACCATTGGTAGCATATTTTGTGCTGTTGTAGAAGGGAGGTGAGTGGTCATAGTTCCATGCCTGAGTGCTGTCGCATAGGTCCGCATAGAATGTCAGTGACATGTCTTGAAGATGTAAGGTGAGTTGCCCCTTAGAGCATTCAGGACATCTGCCTTGTCTTTTCCATTTGGGAATTGGATTATCAGGTCCCTTGATGTTGTAGGTGGTGCTTTTGCTGGTTTGGGTACCCGGAATATGCCTTCTGTGACTATTGTTTAGGACTGTTTGGGTGTTAGTAAGGCTGTCAGCAACCATCTCACCACATGTGGGAGCTCTGCTTCGGGTACTCTTTCAGGGATCTGCCGAAATTTCAGATTATTCCGGTGCCGGGAGTCGTCTTGTGCAGCAAAGCGGCATTCATAGGAGTGATTTTGCTTTTGCAAGTCGCTGACCTCTTGTTGAAGAGTTATGATCTGCTGTGTGCAGGAGTGTGAGTTAGTTTCCAGTGCTCCAATTCGGCCTGTCAGGCCCTGCAGGTCCTGGTGTATCATGGCCATGTCTGCCTGAAGGTTTTTTTTGCAGGTCAACCAGTGGCTCTTTTAATATTATAGTTGTCACCAGAGCTGAGTCTGGTTTCATTAGGGGGGTCGGCGGTGGAGGCGCCTGATCAGGTATATAGCCTTCCTCTGTTCCACAGGAGAAGTCGTCTGAGAGGTCCGAGCAGTCCCCAGTGATGGATGCCATTTTGGGCCTGTGAGCGCCATGAGCCTGCCACCACAAATCCCCAATATTCATGCCCAGTCGGGGTGCATCCTGCCGTAGTTTTTTCATCTTTTTCCCCGTGGGTCTTAAGCACGCTGGGGAGTTCTTCAGAACACAATAAGGCTGGTCTGGATGCCGAAAATTGGGACTGTTCATTACGTTCTTTACGGACTGTAGCGGTGCAGTACGGCTTTTGGGAAGACCAATCAGGAGAGGGTTACGATAATCCATGCGGGAATTTACTAGAGCATGGACAAGCTTCTTGGTAGTATCTGGTGCAAGAAAGGGGCGAATGTGGGCTATGTTTTTAAGATGGAATCTACAGGATTTGGCAACATGCTGGATGTGAGGCTCAAAGGTGAGGCCAGAATCAAGTATGACGCCAAGACAGCGCGCTTGCAAGGATGGACTGATGTGGGTACCACAAACTTGAAGGGAGAGCGAAAGAGGAGGATCAGTATTAGGAGGAGGAAAGACAAGGAGCTCAGTTTTAATTATGAGCACATTTTATAGTTTGCATTTTATTGTTTCTTATTTGTATATTTATTTGTTTATTTTAGTAATTTACATTTTATTGAGATAGCATTGTAGTTGACATAAGCTGAGCTGGTTTTATTTATTTTACAGTGGATTACGTCATATTTAAAGTTGTGCTCTTTATTAGTTTGCTGGATCAGATATGGCTAAACATGGCACCATTGCTGAGCTATATTTCCCAGAATGCTCGGTGTATATAGCACAGGATGGGTTCCACAGATGGAAGCTTAGAACCTTGGAGACAGAATGTGTGATCTGCATTGTGTTAATCAGTCTTGACTGGTCCCACTCAGTAGTAACAAAACCAATCTCAGCAGCATTAAATTGACTAACCTGATCCTGATTGGTTTCTAACTCTGTTCATTTATTTTAATTTATATTTATGGTGATTCTGCATAAAAAGACAGGATAAAGTATGAGAGACATGCTAGCAAGAATTGGAAATTGTATTCGAAATTAGAAAATGGAATAAACAAAATGTACTTCTTAGGATACATGGAAATTGGGGAGGGCGGGTGAGAACTTACCTCACTGTAAATGGAGAGTTTGAGTAGGTAAGAAAGGCCTTAAATTGATAACCAGCTTTGACAAAATCCATCAATTCATAAATAATTTTTCGAATTTCTTAACTAATATATATATTTATCTCCCCACATCTAGGACAAAGTGCTCCTGGGAACTGATTATCCATTTCCTTTAGGAGAACATAGCCCAGGGAGGTTGATTGAATCTATGGAAGACTTTGATGAGAAGTTAAAAGTAGGATTTTTAAAAATGTATTTATTTAATTTTCGATTGCAAGAAATTTCTATCCTGTAAATGTTTGTTTATATTTTCCCTACATGTGGCAGCCTCAGTCATTCTGCATTCTAATATTTATAAGTCATTATTACAAATAAAACTATATATAAATTATATATATATATATATATATATATATATATATATATATAATTTATATATAGTTTTGTATTTATAGTAAATGTATTTATAGTATCTTTATAAAACTAACATTACTAAAAGTGAAAATGATAGAGGGGCATTCAGTCTGATACACTCTGAATTAGCAAAATGTGGCGATTATCATCAGATTGTTCCTGTATTTGCAAATGTAATCATTAATAATAGGGAACAACATCTGGCAATCCTGCCTGAAAGCAGATATCTTCAATACAGCTTTCGTGTTTATTATATTTTTGATTCTTTCGATAACTATATCATCATCATTTCACTGTTTTTATTTTATATTTTTGATACAACAACTAATGATTCTTATTCATGCTGTATCATGTTAGTAGTTTATTGTCTCAGAGCGCACCCTATTGGTAGCCTTAATTTATTCCATTTTGGCATATTGCATTCGGAGATCACTATTGTCATCACTAGTGCAAAAATCCAGGCAACCAAAAAGACAAAATATGTTTGCCACATAGGAACATAAAAACAATGTTGCCATTTATGAGTTAAAGGAACACTATAGTCACCTAAATTAATTTAGCTAAATAAAGCAGTTTTAGTGTATAGATCATTCCCCTGCACTTTCACTGCTCAATTCACTGTCATTTAGGAGTTAAATCACTTTGTTTCTGTTTATGCAGCCCTAGCCACACCTCCCCTGGCTATGATTGACAGAGCCTGCAGGAAAAAAAAACTGGTTTCACTTTCAAACAGATGTAATTTACCTTAAATAATTGTATCTCAATCTCTAAATTGAACTTTTAATCACATACAGGAGGCTCTTGCAGGGTCTAGCAAGCTATTAACATAGCAGGGGATAAGAAAATCTTAATTAAACAGAACTTGCAATAAAGAAAGCCTAAATAGGGCTCTCTTTACAGGAAGTGTTTATGGAAGGCTGTGAAAGTCACATGCAGGGAGGTGTGACTAGGGTTCATAAACAAATGGATTTAACTCCTAAATGGCAGAGGATTGAGCAGTGAGGCTGCAGGGGCATGTTCTATACACCAAAACTGCTTCATTAAGCTAAAGTTGTTCAGGTGACTATAGTGTCCCTTTAAAATCTCATAAAACGGGAGTTTCACAAGCAGACGGAAGACTAATAATAAAATGTGTGCATAAAGTGAAACAAAATGGCAGTGTTAATAACAGACTGATGCCTACTCTATCTGTAATTAAAGGAAAACTCCAATGGAAACATTTAGCAGATATGCCCCCAATTAAAACATGTATGTATTTAATTCATTCATTTTTTTTTTTTTACTGGGGGAATATTCAAAAGCAGCTTGTAAAAGCTGCAGATCTCTTGTCTGCAGCCTTTGCAAACCTTCCCTTTTAATCCCCCCCGATTTTCTGTGGCTGTCCAATCAGAGACTCCCCAATGCAGTTTAATGAGACGTCTTTGGAAGGCAGGTGCTCTGTGCAATTGCTGCCTCTTGAATTTAGCTCAAGCTTCAGTACGATGAAAAAATTAAAAACATTCTTCACATATAACGCATTTCAGCAAGCTAAAGTGCTTTAGGTGTGTGGCGTGTTCCTTTAAGGCTCACACAGCTGCCTATGATGTAATATCTTAGGAAAAAGCATATTTCTAAGGCCTCCAGGTTAATAGGGGGTCCAGAGACACCCACTTGTTTATATATATATCTATTTAGTCATTTTTCTTCAGAATGATTTGCCTGTTAGCTGTTTCCACAACCAGTGGGCAAACATTGCAAAACTGGTGGATTTAATTTTTTAATGTGCCTCTAATTGAATGGTTCTAAACCAGGTGGGCTCATTTAGCATTTTGCTGTACGTAGAATTCATGTGCTGCTGGAAGGACATAATTGCTGGCATCCCTCCTTGATTGATCACTTGGTTTCCTTCCAGCGGTGTTTGAATTCTACATACTGCTGTGAATTATCACGAACACAAAGGTAATTAAACATTTTAGGCCCAAACAGGCAAATTAAAAATATAGTTCACTTTGAGTAGTTTTACAATTTTGCTATTTTGGCCTAGAATATAAAATTCAGAATTTCAGACAATTCACATTTTAATACTGCTTAAAATATGTTAAATGCATCTTATGAAACACAGAGGATGTGGGAACCCTAACCATTATTTACAGACAGGGTTTGCTCAGTAAATTAAGAATTCAAAGTGGATTTAAAGTATATTTCAAATTTAAGATCAAAGTAGCTGTACTGGAACTATGGCTTCCTTGGTTTTTTTAAATTTGAAATTCACTTTGAATTAATCTGAATTCTCACTGTAGTGAATAAACCTGCTAATATATAAATGGATATTTGGCTCCGTATATTTGGAAAAGATGTTCAGTGAGTGGTTACAACTCAACATAAAAAGACTCGGAGACACCACAAGGTTGGGTAAAGGTGGTTTTATTTTAACACTTAGAAGACAGAAAACCAGAATAGTCTTTTATTTTCCTTCCCTCCCCTCCGAAGCCTTTAAAAGGGTCACAATTAAGGGAAACGGTGTCAATGTGTTTGCCCAGCACCTGCATTATCCTAAATGCTACTAATGGGAAATAAGGATATAGAGGCACACTAAGTACTTCCTGCAGGTCTTTCTATAACACTCAGTGGCCTGGAGAGGTATAAGAGCCTGTATGATAGGATATGTTGCCATGCAGAGCTATCAGGCCCACCATGTTTTATAAGACACACATCCTTTCATTGTGTTAATAGGCTGTACATGAATAGTGTGCTACATGATCCCCAGCGATAAATGACTTAATCCAATATGACATTAATCTGAGAAGTGCCATCCTGTACCTTAAAAATCATGGGGATACATACACTCCAAAACTACCATCTAAACTTTGCTTAAAAAAAAAAAAAAAAACTATTTAAAACTAAATTAGGTACAAAATACACATTTAGCTCTAGTGGTAACCAAGTGTATACAGAGACAATCCCTCTAGAATGTAAGCTTATTGAGCAAGGCCCTCCACCTCTCTGTTCCTGTACGTCCAGTTCTCTGGTTACAATTACATGTCTGTTAGTCCACCCATTGTACAGCGCTACGGAATCTGATGGCGCTATACAAATAATAAAATAATAATGATAAATAAGGGAAACAATTGATTGCTGTTTCTTACAGTCACTTGTCGTAGTGTGAGTTTGTACAGCAGATGGGATGAATGCGTTATTTTTATATTTCTTGAACCGTTAAATGAAAATGTTTAGCACATTGAACTTTGTGATTTTGTTGTTCTGTTTTAAATATGTGTCAATATTCTTTCTTCGCAGGACAAGTTGCTGGCTGGAAACGCACTGGATTTTCTAGGACTCAGCAGAAAACTGTTTGAATGAATCCAATTAGGATTGCGTTTACATGTATATCCGAAGTGTGACTATGGCAAGCATCAATCAATCTGCATATCATGAGGTTCCTTCTCTGCTATCCTGTGTCTTTTAAACAAAGAGACAATCATTGGACAGGAGCAATCACCTGGAAACAAGTCACACATCTATTTAGTAAATGAGTAATGTAATCCGCATATGTAAATTGCACCTCCAGACACCCAGCTATTTGTAATGGGTCACCCACAACAGACACTGAAATAATCATAACAAAGCAGCAGGCAGGGCACCTGGCCAATTAAAACCAGTGAAACTTGCAACAGTGTATTTCCTTTGGTGGGAGAACTTAATCCATCAATGCCTACAGCCACCATGTTTTCCTGGACACATATCTTGTCTTCCTGCTGATAGGCAGTACAGGAAAAGCGTTACCATTATGTATGATGCATTCACACTCTGCAGGAAGGGAATCTGTTAATATAGGCAGCACATTTGGGATCCCGTAGCTCATTTATGAAGACTTCCTTCCTGCAGCTTCTGAATACTGCATACTGCAGGTCAGCACTTTTCCTGCACTTTTGTAACTCTGGGCTTGCTGTATTTCTTATAATGTTACATGGAAATCAAACTGTCTGTAACTCTGTTATCATATGTTTCTGCAGAATGGGGGGAGGGTAATAAAATAGTAAATATACCAACTTGTCAATCGTTTAATTTTACAGATGCACAGTAATGTACTGTTAATTAGTTAGTCACTGGGAAATCATTTAATGTCCTTATAGAACAGAAAAGTGACTCTATATTGAATTGACAGAGCGCTTCAGGCTCCCACACACGTTAGATACACTGTGTAGGTAGGTTACAGTTAGTTATACTGGGTGGGTTAATATTTTATTAAAGGGACACTCCAGGCTCCCACACACGTTAGGTGCACTGTGTAGGTTAGGTTACAGTTAGGTATACTGGGTGGGTTTATATTATTAAAGGGACACTCCAGGCTCCTACACACGTTAGATGCACTGTGTAGGTTAGGTTACAGTTAGCTATACTGGGTGGGTTTATATTATTAAAGGGACACTCCAGGCTCCCACACACGTTAGATGCACTGTGTAGGTTGGGTTACAGTTAGTTATACTGGGTGGGTTTATGTTATTAAAGTGACACTCCAGGCTCCCACACACGTTAGATGCACTGTGTAGGTTAGGTTACAGTTAGTTATACTGGGTGGGTTTATATTATTAAAGGGACACTCCAGGCTCCCACTCATGTTAGATGCACTGTGTAGGTTAGGTTACAGTTAGTTATACTGGGTGGGTTTATATTATTAAAGGGACACTCCAGGCTCCCACACGTTAGATGCACTGTGTAGGTCAGGTTACAGTTGGTTATACTGGGTGGGTTTATATTATTAAAGGGACACTCCAGGCTCCCACACATTAGGTGCACTGTGTAGGTTAGGTTACAGTTAGTTATACTGGGTGGGTTTATATTATTAAAGGGACACTCCAGGCTCCCACACGTTAGATGCACTGTGTAGGTCAGGTTACAGTTAGTTATACTGGGTGGGTTTATATTATTAAAGGGACACTCCAGGCTCCCACACATGTAAGGCGCACTGTGTAGGTCAGGTTACAGTTAGTTATACTGGGTGGGTTTATATTATTAAAGGGACACTCCAGGCTCCCACACATGTAAGGCGCACTGTGTAGGTCAGGTTACAGTTAGTTATACTGGGTGGGTTTATATTATTAAAGGGATACTCCAGGCTCCCACACATGTTAGATGCACTGTGTAGGTCAGGTTACAGTTAGTTATACTGGGTGGGTTTATATTATTAAAGGGATACTGCAGGCTCCTACAGACGTTAGGTGCACTGTGTAGGTCAGGTTACAGTTAGTTATACTGGGTGGGTTTATATTATTAAAGGGACACTCCAGGCTCCCACACATGTTAGATGCACTGTGTAGGTTAGGTTACAGTTAGTTATACTGGGTGGGTTTATATTATTAAAGGGACACTCCAGGCTCCCACACATGTTAGATGCACTGTGTAGGTTAGGTTACAGTTAGTTATACTGGGTGGGTTTATATTATTAAAGGGACACTCCAGGCTCCCACACACGTTAGACGCACTGTGTAGGTCAGGTTACAGTTGGTTATACTGGGTGGGTTTATATTATTAAAGGGACACTCCAGGCTCCCACACATTAGGTGCACTGTGTAGGTTAGGTTACAGTTAGTTATACTGGGTGGGTTTATATTATTAAAGGGACACTCCAGGCTCCCACACGTTAGGTGCACTGTGTAGGTCAGGTTACAGTTAGTTATACTGGGTGGGTTTATATTATTAAAGGGATACTTCAGGCTCCCACACATGTTAGATGCACTGTGTAGGTCAGGTTACAGTTAGTTATACTGGGTGGGTTTATATTATTAAAGGGATACTGCAGGCTCCTACAGACGTTAGGTGCACTGTGTAGGTCAAGTTACAGTTAGTTATACTGGGTGGGTTTATATTATTAAAGGGACACTCCAGGCTCCCACACACGTTAGATGCACTGTGTAGGTTAGGTTACAGTTAGCTATACTGGGTGGGTTTATATTATTAAAAGGACACTCCAGGCTCCCACACACGTTAGGTGCACTGTGTAGGTTAGGTTACAGTTAGCTATACTGGGTGGGTTTATATTATTAAAGGGACACTCCAGGCTCCCACACATGGTAGATGCACTGTGTAGGTTAGGTTACAGTTAGTTATACTGGGTGGGTTTATATTATTAAAGGGACACTCCAGGCTCCTACACACATTAGATGCACTGTGTAGGTTAGGTTACAGTTAGTTATACTAGGTGGGTTTATATTAAAGGGACGCTCCAGGCTCCCACATACGTTAGGTGCACAGTGTAGGTTAGGTTACAGTTAGTTATACTGGGTGGGTTTATATTATTAAAGGGACACTCCAGGCTCCCACACATGTTAGATGCACTGTGTAGGTTAGGTTACAGTTAGTTATACTGGGTGGGTTTATATTATTAAAGGGACACTCCAGGCTCCCACACAGCTAGATGCACTGTGTAGGTTAGGTTACAGTTAGTTATACCGGGTTTATATTATTAAAGGGACACTCCAGGCTCCCACAATAATGTAGACCTGTGTAGGTTAGGTTACAGTTAGTTATACTGGGTGGGTTTATATTATTAAAGGGACACTCCAGGCTCCCACACGTTAGATGCACTGTGTAGGTTAGGTTACAGTTGTTATACTGGGTGGGTTTATATTATTAAAGGGACACTCCAGGCTCCCACACACGTTAGACGCACTGTGTAGGTCAGGTTACAGTTAGTTATACTGGGTGGGTTTATATTATTAAAGGGACACTCCAGGCTCCCACACATTAGGTGCACTGTGTAGGTTAGGTTACAGTTAGTTATACTGGGTGGGTTTATATTATTAAAGGGACACTCCAGGCTCCCACACGTTATGTGCACTGTGTAGGTCAGGTTACAGTTAGTTATACTGGGTGGGTTTATATTATTAAAGGGATACTCCAGGCTCCCACACATGTTAGATGCACTGTGTAGGTCAGGTTACAGTTAGTTATACTGGGTGGGTTTATATTATTAAAGGGATACTGCAGGCTCCTACAGACGTTAGGTGCACTGTGTAGGTCAGGTTACAGTTAGTTATACTGGGTGGGTTTATATTATTAAAGGGACACTCCAGGCTCCCACACACGTTAGATGCACTGTGTAGGTTAGGTTACAGTTAGCTATACTGGGTGGGTTTATATTATTAAAGGGACACTCCAGGCTCCCACACACGTTAGGTGCACTGTGTAGGTTAGGTTACAGTTAGTTATACTGGGTGGGTTTATATTATTAAAGGGACACTCCAGGCTCCCACACACGGTGCACTGTGTAGGTTAGGTTACAGTTATACTGGGTGGGTTTTTATTATTAAAGGGACACTCCAGGCTCCCACACATGTTAGGTGCACTGTGTAGATTAGGTTACAGTTAGTTATACTGGGAGGGTTTATATTATTAAAGGGACACTCCAGACTCCCACACACGTTAGGTGCACTGTGTAGGTTAGGTTACAGTTAGTTATACTGGGTGGGTTTATATTATTAAAGGGATACTCCAGGCTCCCACACATGTTAGATGCACTGTGTAGGTCAGGTTACAGTTAGTTATACTGGGTGGGTTTATATTATTAAAGGGATACTCCAGGCTCCCACACATGTTAGATGCACTGTGTAGGTTAGGTTACAGTTAGTTATGCTGGGTGGGTTTATATTATTAAAAGGACACTCCAGGCTCCTACAGACATTAGGTGCACTGTGTAGGTCAGGTTACAGTTAGTTATACTGGGTGGGTTTATATTATTAAAGAGACACTCCAGGCTCCCACACACGTTAGACGCACTGTGTAGGTTAGGTTACAGTTAGTTATACTGGGTGGGTTTATATTATTAAAGGGACACTCCAGGCTCCCACACACGTTAGACGCACTGTGTAGGTCAGGTTACAGTTGGTTATACTGGGTGGGTTTATATTATTAAAGGGACACTCCAGGCTCCCACACATTAGGTGCACTGTGTAGGTTAGGGTACAGTTAGTTATACTGGGTGGGTTTATATTATTAAAGGGACACTCCAGGCTCCCACACACGTTAGACGCACTGTGTAGGTCAGTTTACAGTTGGTTATACTGGGTGGGTTTATATTATTTAAGGGACACTCCAGGCTCCCACACATTAGGTGCACTGTGTAGGTTAGGTTACAGTTAGTTATACTGGGTGGGTTTATATTATTAAAGGGACACTCCAGGCTCCCACACGTTAGGTGCACTGTGTAGGTCAGGTTACAGTTAGTTATACTGGGTGGGTTTATATTATTAAAGGGATACTCCAGGCTCCCACACATGTTAGATGCACTGTGTAGGTCAGGTTACAGTTAGTTATACTGGGTGGGTTTATATTATTAAAGGGATACTGCAGGCTCCTACAGACGTTAGGTGCACTGTGTAGGTCAGGTTACAGTTAGTTATAGTGGGTGGGTTTATATTATTAAAGGGACACTCCAGGGTCCCACACACGTTAGACGCACTGTGTAGGTCAGGTTACAGTTGGTTATACTGGGTGGGTTTATATTATTAAAGGGACACTCCAGGCTCCCACACATTAGGTGCACTGTGTAGGTTAGGTTACAGTTAGTTATACTGGGTGGGTTTATATTATTAAAGGGACACTCCAGGCTCCCACACGTTAGGTGCACTGTGTAGGTCAGGTCACAGTTAGTTATACTGGGTGTGTTTATATTATTAAAGGGACACTCCAGGCCCCCACACACGTTAGATGCACTGTGTAGGTTAGGTTACAGTTAGTTATACTGGGTGGGTTTATATTATTAAAGGGACACTCCAGGCCCCCACACACGTTAGATGCACTGTGTAGGTTAGGTTACAGTTAGTTATACCAGGTGGGTTTATATTATTAAAGGGACACTTCAGGCCCCCACACACATTAGATGCACTGTGTAGGTTAGGTTACCATCAGTTATACCGAGTGGGTTTATATTATTAAAGGGACACTCCAGGCTCCCACACACGTTAGATGCACTGTGTAGGTTAGGTTACAGTTAGTTATACTGAGTGGGTTTATATTATTAAAGGGACACTCTAGGCCCCCACACACGTTAGATGCACTGTGTAGGTTAGGTTACAGTTAGTTATACCGGGTGGGTTTATATTATTAAAGGGACACTCAAGGCCCACACAGACGTTAGATGCACTGTGTAGGTTAGGTTACCATCAGTTATACCGAGTGGGTTTATATTATTAAATGGACACTCCAGGCTCCCACACACATTAGATGCACTGTGTAGGTTAGGTTACAGTTAGTTATACTGGGTGGGTTTATATTTTTAAAGGGACACTCCAGACTCCCACACACGTTAGGTGCACTGTGTAGGTTAGGTTACAGTTAGTTATACTAGGTGGGTTTATATTAAAGGGACACTCCAGGCTCCCACGCACGTTCGGTGCACTGTGAAGGTGAGGTTACAGTTAGTTATACTGGGTGGGTTTATATTTTATTAAAGGGACACTCCAGGCTCCCACACACGTTGGGTGCACTGTGTAGTTCAGGTTATAGTTAGTTATACTGGGTGGGTTTATATTATTAAAGGGACACTCCAGGCTCCCACACACGTTATGTGCACTGTGTAGGTTAGGTTACAGTTAGTTATACTGGTTGAGTTTATATTATTAAAGGGACACTCAAGGCTCCCACACACGTTAGGTGCACTGTGTAGGTTAGGTTACAGTTAGTTATACTAGGTGGGTTTATATTAAAGGGACACTCCAGGCTCCCACACACGTTAGATGCACTGTGTAGGTTAGGTTACAGTTAGTTATACTGGGTGGGTTTATATTATTAAAGGGACACTCCAGGCCCCCACACACGTTAGATGCACTGTGTAGGTTAGCTTACAGTTAGTTATCCTGGTTGGGTTTATATTATTAAAGGGTCACTCCAGGCTCCCAAACACATTAGGTGCACTGTGTAGGTTAGGTTACAGTTATACTGGGTGGGTTTATATTATTAAAGGGACACTCCAGGCTCCCACACACGTTAGATACACTGTGTAGGTTAGGTTACAGTTAGTTATACTGGGTGGGTTTATATTATTAAAGGGACACTCCAGGCTCCCACACACGTTAGGTGCACTGTGTAGGTTAGGTTACAGTTAGTTATACTGGGTGGGTTTATATTATTAAAGGGACACTCCAGGCTCCCACACATGTT